CCCCGTGCCCCCAGCCCCTGTCCCAGCGGTACCAGCAGCGCAGCGATGGCAGAGGCGCTGTTGGTGACCCCGTAGTGCAGGGAGGTGACATCCTGGGCCCTGAGCACGAAGCGCAGGACGGTGCCGTGCACGAGGGTGCCGCTGATGAAGTTGAGGTGGCCGAGGATGAGGAGGATGAGCCCCGTTTTCATCAGCACCTTTCGGTGGCCGCCGGGATCCAGGTGACCTGAGAGCAGGGCAGAGGACACTGCGGGGTGGCAGCACCCATGTGATGTCCCCATGGGCCACAGGAATGGGGCGTTTGGGGACAGCCCCAGAGGAGGTGGCAGGGATGAGGCAGGAGGTGATGGGGAAGCCCAGGAATGCAAACCACAGCTCCAGCTGGCTCTGCTGGGACTGGGGCAAAGGTGTGGGGCCACAGAGTGTGGGCCCGGGGGTCTCTGTGGGGCTGGGAAGGGCTGGAACTCCCTGGAGCGATGAGGGAGCACTGGGAGGGCAGCTGGCCCTAAAAAGCATTTCTAGGGCTGGGTTCTGGCACCGGGGACTTTGAGGGGAGCTTTCCCTCTCCTGAAACCCACCCTGGGGCTGTTCCCCCTCCTGGAACCCACCCTGGGGTTTTTCCTGCCCCTAAAACCCACCCTGGGGCTGTTCTCCCTCCTGGAATCCACTCTGGGGCTGTTTCCCCCTGGAACCCACCCTGGGGCTGTTCCCCATCCTGGAACCCATCCTGGGGTTTTTCCTGCCCCTAAAACCCACCCTGGGGCTGTTCCCCCTCCTGGAATCCACTCTGGGGCTGTTCCCCCCTGGAACCCACCCTCAAACACCCCCCGAGCTCAGCCCAGCTCCATCCCCGATCCCATGAGAACCCCTCTCCCTCCCTGCCTGCCTCAGTTTCCCCCGCAGCAGGGCAGGGATGGAGCCCTCCCGTTGGGATCCCACAGCCGGACTCACCCACTTGGCACATCCTCAGCGGGTCCGGCTCAGCCCATCCGAGCCCCGCGATGCCCCGGGGGTCTGCCCTGCCCTGCCCWGCCCTGTCCTCAGCCCCATCGRGCTCCAAACRCGTCCGGGGGGGAGCAGGGACAGGACTGGGACCCCGGAGCCACCGGAGCCACCAGAGCCACCCTCCTGCTGGCCCGATTCCTGTCAGACCAGCTCCCGGGACAAAGGGATAACTCCACCTCCTCCTGCTGTCTGTCCCAGCCCTGCCCTCCCCGTGCTGGGACATGCCGAGCCGTGCCGTGCCGTGCCAATACACGTTCCATGCCCTTACACCACTCCTCACCCCTTCCCCATCCATCCCCAGCACACCCCAAAGGCATTTGGGGTCCAGCCAGGCAGGATGAGGGGCTGGGAAGGGGCAGCAGCTGGGGGTGGGCATTGCCTGGACCACAGGGCACTGACCAGAGGTGCAGGGACAGGACAGAGGGGTCAGGGCGGGTGGTGACAGCRCCAAAAGGTGACTCAGGAGCCGGTTTGGTGGCCACAGACCTCAGGAAGCTTCCAGGGAAGTTCAGGGAGTGGRATGRGGACAGRGCAGTGCTGGGAGGGCTGTGAGGATCAAAAATTGCAGGGACAACCGTGGTTCCTGGGACTGGCCTGGGAAGGGCTCGGTCCAGGCAGAGGCTCCAAGGTTTTGTCCCCAATGTCCCATCCAAGCCACTGCTCTGAGCATCCTCAACTCCCACATGCCCAGAAGTGCTGCAAATTTGGCTTTTTTCCCCATTCTTCCCCTCCTTTAGYTTGTACCCAGCCCTGCTGCACGGGRAGAGGGAGAAGAGAAACCTCTCTCCTCTTCCCAAGCTTTTGGGAACATTCACGTGGGCAGAGGCTGCTGGAAAACCTCCCAGCTTTGGAAAGGACGAGCTGGATTCAGGTCCAACGACAACCAGAGTCTTTATTCCAAGAGTCCCTTAGGATGGTTGCAGACATACAGACACACGTACATATTTACACTCTTACACACCTCACAGAGTTTGAACCAATAAATTAAAACAAAAAGAGGGCAGGGGGGATTTGTGGGGTTTTGTTTG